GTATAAATGAACTTAGCTAATTGTAATTAAGTACTTATTTAAATATTTTTCTTGAATTTTAAGATATAATTTAGTTTAAAAGGTTTAATAAATAGAAATCTCAATAAATATATTAGCTATACTGATTTATTTTTTATTTTTATTTATTAAGATTATACTTTGACTATTATAAATACTAATTAAATTTGTCTAAATAATAATATTTGCACTCCGAAGAAAGAAAATATTAGCATGAATAATTATGATTGAAACTGTAAAATGATATTGGGAATCAGAGTACAAATTAAATACTATTTAAAATTAGTATTTATGGTTATATATAAATAAAGCCTACCTAGAGAAATAATGACTGAAAACAAGTAAATCATAATGTTAAAACTTCAAAGGACATTTACAAAAAAATGTTAAAATATAGAATAACTATGTAAGATACAATTTCCAATATTATTTTTTTTCATTGCAGAAAATATTTTTAATAAATTTATACTTTAGACTAAAAGATATAAAATAAAATTTTAAATACTTAACATACTTTTGGTTTAATATTATCAAGAATGCCATTTTGAATTCTCCATAAGACTCCTTGAGTTAAATCTCCACCAATTCCAAAATTCAAACAATGCAACGGTTCAAATAAATCATTCCATATGGGACGTAACTGTAATTGTTGTATAATTGAATCACCGATTAATATAACATCAGGTTCGCGTTCTTTGGCTTCTGATACATGTCGTTCATGCTGAAAATAAAAGTTAAAAAAATTTATAAAAATAACTTTAAAAATTTTAAGAACTCACTTGACTCATCCATCTGTTATCACCTTGAGGGTCTTCAGGAACACAGGGAATTATACAAGAATTCATTTTTAAACAAGATAAGTGTAATAAATTTGAACAAAAACTATTTTGAATAAACTAAATAGAAATTAGAAAATAAAGACGTATAGTAACTAATTAATAATAATTAACAATTGACAAGTCGTTGGGATTTTCAGTAAAATTTTTTAAATTTATGCAATTCAAATGAAAGTAATTATTACAAACTTGGCTGTAACAAATAGTTAACTGTTAAAAAACATTTGATAATATAAATTAAGATAACCTATAAAAACGTATTAACTGTAACACACGATCAAGGGTGGTAAAAAATAGAAATGTTTTCGCATATTTAAGTGGCTAATTTACCAAACTTATCTTCTAGAATCTTAATATAGATAGATAAAAACAATTGAATATATGATAATATTTTAGTAATATTCAGACTACTTAATATAATTGTGAAGTAATACAAATTCTTAGGAATTTTAATAAAGTTAGTTTTAAACGTTTTAATAAAATAATAACTCACCTAAACATTATTTATAAAACAAATCAGTGCCATTAAAAAAAAAATTATTAATAACTGACATAGAGAAGTATACTGATTAATATTACAAAGGTGGACTATCACATAACTAAATTGATAACTGATAATAGAAAAACAAAAACTTAGAATTAAAGCAAGTTTTTGAAAAAAAAAATGTGCACATTACACTATATACAAATTTGTCAAGATTATTTTATCATTTAGAAATTTTACGTTTAACAATAAAATTACTGAGTTAGTTATAAAAAATTATAATAATCAAATAAATAAATAATGTCTATCAATGAATTTCCTAGTATTTATATTCATAGCTGTAACAATGAAGATCCTTTAAAAATTATTCAATGTGAGTTGCATTATTTATTTTAATCCTAATATTTAATAGAAAAACATGATATTTTTATAAGTAATAACTTTTTTATAAAATGTTTGCATAACATGTTATACAACCATCATAATGGTTTTATTAGGCTGACTAAAAAAAAATCATGAAAGACATTGGTAATGAAACAATCTTGTATTTAATTTTATTTAAGATATAAGTAGATATTTAATTCCTGTTATATTTTTACTGCGAATTTCCTATAGGTAGGCATCAATCGCCAACTTTCTCCTACCTGGATGATTTCTTGTCATTAATTAGTACAATTTATTATTAATTTGATAAAATATAATAAATTTTCAGGAAAACATTGAAATTCTTAAAATATTGATCTGTAGAAATGAAAACTGTTTGAGAGAATAACTTTTTATATAAGTGTATTATTTAAGTATGTAAAAGTTAAAAATATAAAATTAAAAAACACTTTATATTAATTAAAAAATTAAAATCTATTGTTAGTATTTTTGTATAAAAATCATATTTTTTTTACAAGGCAAGAAATACATTTTAATGAATTTTTAGGATTAACAAAAATATTCAAATTTAGATGGCAATATTTTTTTAAATGTGTACAAGATACAACCGATAGAGTAGGTAATTGATTTGACACTATATTGTTTAAACCCAACTAAACGCTAAATTGTACATTCCCAA